AGTGGAACAACAGTCTTATTACAAGCGTAAGACTCGAACTTTATCATTGTCGACATGTGTGCGTTTCATTTGAAATATACTTAACTAACAAATTGTTGTTTATTTCGAGTTACCTTCACTTCCTACAAAAACTCGTTGTAAGCCTACCTGGCTTATAACAGACGTATAATATATTATCCGTCTATGTGTATTAATGTATTATACGCTTCGACCATATAAATTATAGACAATAATATATTATATTAGTTTATATGGTAGAAGATTATACGTAAGACAGCTATCATTCAAATTTAATACTAACCATTATACAGTGACCCACTTGTAACCTACTGTACAGCAGAGCCCCTTTTTTCCTTTAGCTATTTTTTCATATGCTTTTTTTTCTTATTACCTACAATCGCCGACACGATTAAAGATATACAGGTTGCACATCGCCCTATAACAAACTGCTATCAGATTGATTTACAAAGTGGAGCTTGATCTCAAGCCAACACTCAACCATATTATGTGTCGACGTTTAGAACTAATTTTACACCAATATACCTATCTATAATAATCAGTTAATTGTAATACTGCCGCTTGGAGCGCCACTGGTTAATTATTGGTAGCATAGAGTAATAAAACTATAGAGGCGGCATTAGGCAGATATTATGATTATCAGATCGAAGCAAAATTGAACGCCATTGTACCCCTCTTACAACTCTAGTGAACACTAGATGGCGTTTTCGACCATGAAATTAAATGGATAATCGACATTATATTTTATTACTCTATGGTCTATGGCACGGCCATATAGATAGGTCTGGCAACTCGACAGTGTTTGTACGTGGTCGGAGTGTGCCGTTATTGTATACGGCATATCGGGGGAATGCTATGTGGCGCTATCTACATTCATAGTATAGCATTTTAAGTATTACAAATTTACTATTTTGATGGTATAGATGGCGAAACAATCATATACAAGCTATTATAGGAGATATTATGGGCATATAATAATATATACCTATCTAAAATTATTAAATATAAATATTAAAAATTATTTGTGTACCTATCTAATTTATGGTAAAATTAATTGATAATATACAGACATACTAGTACTAGTCTTTAGTTTCTACTACTTTCTAGTTGTTGAACATAATAAATTCACAATGCCTAGAGTATGCTCAATATGTAGAGAAAAAAATGATCTAACACTTTTTAGAGTGCCGATCAATAGTGTTAGAGCACAAAAATGGCAAGAGGTTTTTGGTACTCAAGAAACATTAGTTCCCGGCAAAACTGTTTTGTGTGAAAAACACTTTTTGTCAACAGACATTGTAAGACAAAATGAAATTAAAGACCCTATTACAAATCATGTTATTTGTACAGTGAGTATATTTTTAATACCATAATAATAAAATATCAAGAAATTCGTTGAACTAGACCGGTTTAGAACTATCCCACGCCAAATTGAATTTTCCCCGTCTATGGCCATTATATCTATATATCGCTTACTTAAAGTAACCTAACATAAAACCTTACTTAAAGGTCTTACTTAAATTTTGCATATACACCAACATTAACTGGAAAGACAAAAATATTGCAAAAAAATATTGTCTATACTTAAGATGTTACTCTGGCATTAGCAATTTAAAATCCAAATCATTTAAATCTACTACAGATATATCACTTTCAACTAATACAAAGTCGGTATATGCTCTTCATCAGAAGCTTCAAAGTAGGTATTGTACTTTACTTCAGTTTCAGAAACTAATTTAATAACTGTGGCCATATATATATATAGGAAATAAAAAACAAAAGCTGCGGAGGTTAGGTTAGAAGAACTTTTACTTATTTTCACAATGCTTTGCAATTTTAGTTTCAAGTTTAATGCAGGAGTCTATTCCCTCTAATATATACATAATATATTTTAATGTATCAAATTGGGGAATTTTAAAAATTATATAACACAATATACTTTAGTTTAAGATTAATATATAATTCTTATTATGGATAGTTAATATAAATTAATTTAATGTATGTTATTTTAGTAATTAATATTTTTTTTAAACTTTTGATTAACGATAGAAATTTTTAAATAGATTGCTCTAAGTAAAACTATACTGAAACCTGATGCTGTTCCTATTCTTGGAGTAAAAATTCCTATTAAAACATATTCTAGGATACCCACATCAACTACAGTTAAGGTAAATCTATTTTTTTTATATAACCCTGTAAAGGAGAAGACCTACTACACTTACCACATTATTATATTTTTATTGTGTCTTCTGGATCAATATAGTATTTTTAACTATAAACTGCTGACCACCCATATAATTTAACATTTGATGAATCATCTTGTACATCAGTTTATTATTGTAGTCAGTGACAACAAATTCATTTTTAAAGGATTTTGCAGGAATTAAATATAAATGTAGTTCATTCCAAACATAAGTTATGTCTTTAAATTTAATAAATTAACTTCTTGTATTATTTATAATATTATAGTTAATGATTTAAGATTTTATAGATCTACAAATCTAAATAGCTTTCAAAAAATTATGGTTTATATTTTTATAACATAACAGTTTAAATCTTTATGATTCAGGAATCTAGTAATGTTGTAAAACCAATAATTGTCTAGACAATAATTGGTCCTAGAACTGATGAACTAATAAGCCAAGAATTTTGTGAAGAGTTAAATGACTTAAAGGTATAATTATTTTACTTAGATAGTATTTATTAATATAATAGTTATTAAGTTATTAATTAACATATTATTAGAAAAGTATAGGTACATATAACAAGATTAACATATATTACAATCAATTAGGTGTGATAGTAACTGTATTAAGTATTAACTTGTATCAAGTGCATAAATTATTTCTTTTATTAGGAAAATGATGCTAGTAAATTTGGACCCAAAAAACTTGTTTTTTCAAACAATTATGAGCCATATGATAATCTGTTAGCATACAGTTTGCCCAGTAATTTATGCTTAACACTATTCAAAAATGAAACAAAAATATGTATTCCCAGTTCTTGGAATAAAATTTTGCCACAAAATAGTCCAAATACAACTATTTTTTGTGAAGTATTAACAAATTTAAAAGAACCAGCAGTGCCTGTATTTGGAAAAACAGTAGCTGTAAATGAAAAATCATTTGTCAGTTTAAGTTATTTGGGGAAATCCATAAGTCTAGACCACTTTAATCAAATTAAAGAACTTAAAACTATCTTCGAATTAGAAAATCTAATTCAACAATTTGACAAACAAATAATGTGCAATGGTGTAAACATAAAAGAGAATCTTATAAGACATAAACCTTCAAATACATTTATGGATCAAATTGGTAATTTGCGACATTTAAAGTGTATAATGTTAAGTAATAATAACAAAAATGTATGTGGAAATTGTGCAAGTATAAAACAATCAATACGTACGAATAAATATCGTCAAACAAAAAAACGGACTTCTGAGTATAAGCGCGTCCATTTAAATGTAACTCCTTCTAAATCCAAAAAATTACAAAATTTACGTCAAAAAGCAAAAAAATTACAGCAAAATAAAAAAAGAGGACAGATTCAACTGAAAAATTTACAATCAAAACTAGACAAAGCAAAGAAAACTCTAAGAAATATAAATAACAATTCGTTAATGAATGAATTAAGAAGTTCAAATAAAATGGAACATAACCAATTACTACTTGTAGAAGAAATATTGTCAGCATCTAAGAGGAAAAGTGAAAGAGGAAGAAGATACAATGAAGAATGGGTTATGTTGTGTATGTTGTTTCATATTCGGTCACCGTCAGGATATGCATACCTTAGAAATAATAACATTTTGCCATTACCATGTACAAGAACCATAAGAAAGTACTTATCAATAATAAATACTTCTTGTGGTTTCGACCCAAAGTTCTTTGAAATTTTTAAAATGAATCTTTCAACAAAACCTGAAATGCAAAAACATGGTTTATTACTGTTGGATGAGATGAGTGTTAGAGAAAGCATTTCAGTAAATTCAAAGACCCTCACTTATTCTGGGTTAATTGATTTTGGACCAGAGGATGAAGATTTAACCAGTTTACCAAAGCCCACTTCCTTAAACGATAAGGCAACACATGCCTTAGTGTTTATGTTCCAGCCACTGGCTGGCAATTATACACAGCCAATAGCAGTGTTTGCGTCTAGTGGCCCAGTTAAAGGGGTAACACTTGCTCAACTTATCATTAAAGCAACTATTTTGTTAGAAAAATCTGGTGCATATGTTCATGGGTTTATTGCCGATGGTGCTCAAACAAACCGGAAAGTTTGGAACGAATATGGTTTAAGAGGCAAGCTAAATGATTGCCAAAACTATGTTGAACATTTTGTCGATCCAGAAAGAAAATTTTTTGCATTTTCGGACACACCACATTTGCTAAAAAATATCAGAAATCGTTTTTATAATAAAAAAGAACTTGAGGTAAGTAACTCGATCACTACACATTTCAACTATCAATTTGTATACAAATTGAATTATCCATTTATGTAATAGACACCACTAGGAATTATAAAATGGAAATTTTTTGAAAAATTGTATGAAGAAGATTGTCATGTAACAAGCTCTTATTTAAAAGTTTGTCCAAAAATAACAAAAAATCATGTACATTTAGTAAATTCATCTCTGAAAATGAGAGTTCGTTATGCAGCACAAGTAAGATCTAATTCATTAACAAAAATTGAAAAAATATAATAATATTTTAATAATATTTATTTACACTTAGATTTTCAGTAATAGTGTTGTAGTTGGTTTGGAGTTTTATAAGAAACGAAACATAAATGATTTTGAAAATTGTGATCCTACAATTAAGTTTTGTAAGCTAATGAATGACATGTTTGATTCTTTAAATCGTAAACACACTTTTGATGGAATAAATTTAGAATCATCAGACTATAAGGTATAAAAAAATTTAAAAAATAGGTATATTTTGAAATTAAATTAATTAATTTAATAGATTTTGAAAGAATCATTACAATTTTTAAACGATTGGGAAGACATGTTTCACAATCGCAAAATAACTGAAAATCAGTTTTTAACAGCTAACACAGCTGAAGGTTTACGAGTAACACTTCAGTCAACATTAGATATTATTGAATATTTAATTACTAGATACAATTTCACTTATGTATTAACTGGAAAAATAAACCAGGATGCATTGGAAGTAAGTCGAGCTATTATTAAATGTAAAATTATTTGATTTTTAATTTCTATATCGACATTAGTGATCTATTTATTTAGCTTAAATTCATACCATAAATTTCATACATTTAAAATGTCAAAAAAGTAATTTTTTTTTTTAATAATACATTTTCAGCGTTTTTTTGGAACAATTAGACAAGCTGCTGGAGCAAACGACCATCCAGGAACCCCAACATTTATACAGTTGTATAAATTGTTGTCTGTATATAGTATTTTGCGTCCTCCAAAGTATGGAAATTGTTCCATTGATACTGATACATCTAATCAATCATCAAATTTAATAAAAATTAGTGACTTAAAAAGTATATATGATAATAAAAGTGAATCTGCATTAGGAACATTAAAAAGAAAATTAGATGACATTCTACTCGAAGATTTGTGGGAGTTTACAGATATATTAGAACATGATTATTCATACGCACCTGTAATAGATTGTTTAATATATTATGTAACAGGATATTTGTGTAAGCAAATATTTAAGCATAGTCAATGTAGTGTATGTAAAGAAGCTATAATTTTGAATAGTAAACTTCAAGGTCCTGAGCATCTACATAATCGTGGTCCTGAGTCTGAATTGACAGAATTGAAGTCTAGGGGAAAATTGATACACCCAAATAAGAAATTTTTTCACTTTATTTTTAAGATTGAAGAATATTTTATACTTCACATAGATAGTCCTTATGTGTTTGAAGAAGTAGTTGAAGATATATTGACTAATGAATGTTTAGGTTTCCCTTGTCGTCAACACAAAGACGAAATAATTACTTACTCCATAAGGTACTATATCAATATGCGTATGCGCCAATTTACTAAGCAGCTAAATCAAAATAATCAAAAAGAAAATCAAAAAAGAAAAAAACTATCAAAATTCTGTACTACATAAAGGTTTTAAGTTTATATGTTAATATTTATACATTGTTGTTAAAGTGTTAAACAACTATACCTATATTAAAGATATTACTTGTTACTATTTATTATGCATAATTAATAATATTATACTTTGTCATTTGTCTTTTTATTCTCCACTTTCCAGACGTCTAATTCAATTTCAGTAGGTAACACAGGCAACATACATTTAATAAAGTTTTATAAAAATGAAATACAATAGGTATTATATTATTATAATAATAATATCATATGTATAATGGTACTAGGTACTATCATTGATTATAGAATAGTCTATTCTATAATCAATGGTACTATTAATATATGGCCGTGTGGAGGCGATCACAGGGGAATGCTAAGTGGCGCTATCTACATTCATAGTATAGAGTTCTATACTATATAGTATGTCATTAATTTGTAAGTAGATAGCGCCACATAGCATTCCCCCGATCCCGTATACAATAACGGCACACGAAAATCGTCGAGTTGCCAGACCTATCTATATGGCCGTGTAAGGAATAAACACGGCCATATAGATAGGTCTGGCAACTCGACGATTTTCGTGTGCCGTTATTGTATACGGGATCGGGGGAATGCTATGTGGCGCTATCTACTTACAAATTAATGACATACTATATAGTATAGAACTCTATACTATGAATGTAGATAGCGCCACTTAGCATTCCCCTGTGATCGCCTCCACACGGCCATATATTAATAGTACCATTGATTATAGAATAGACTATTCTATAATCAATGATAGTACCTAGTACCATTATACATATGATATTATTATTATAATAATATAATACCTATTGTATTTCATTTTTATAAAACTTTATTAAATGTATGTTGCCTGTGTTACCTACTGAAATTGAATTAGACGTCTGGAAAGTGGAGAATAAAAAGACAAATGACAAAGTATAATATTATTAATTATGCATAATAAATAGTAACAAGTAATATCTTTAATATAGGTATAGTTGTTTAACACTTTAACAACAATGTATAAATATTAACATATAAACTTAAAACCTTTATGTAGTACAGAATTTTGATAGTTTTTTTCTTTTTTGATTTTCTTTTTGATTATTTTGATTTAGCTGCTTAGTAAATTGGCGCATACGCATATTGATATAGTACCTTATGGAGTAAGTAATTATTTCGTCTTTGTGTTGACGACAAGGGAAACCTAAACATTCATTAGTCAATATATCTTCAACTACTTCTTCAAACACATAAGGACTATCTATGTGAAGTATAAAATATTCTTCAATCTTAAAAATAAAGTGAAAAAATTTCTTATTTGGGTGTATCAATTTTCCCCTAGACTTCAATTCTGTCAATTCAGACTCAGGACCACGATTATGTAGATGCTCAGGACCTTGAAGTTTACTATTCAAAATTATAGCTTCTTTACATACACTACATTGACTATGCTTTAATATTTGCTTACACAAATATCCTGTTACATAATATATTAAACAATCTATTACAGGTGCGTATGAATAATCATGTTCTAATATATCTGTAAACTCCCACAAATCTTCGAGTAGAATGTCATCTAATTTTCTTTTTAATGTTCCTAATGCAGATTCACTTTTATTATCATATATACTTTTTAAGTCACTAATTTTTATTAAATTTGATGATTGATTAGATGTATCAGTATCAATGGAACAATTTCCATACTTTGGAGGACGCAAAATACTATATACAGACAACAATTTATACAACTGTATAAATGTTGGGGTTCCTGGATGGTCGTTTGCTCCAGCAGCTTGTCTAATTGTTCCAAAAAAACGCTGAAAATGTATTATTAAAAAAAAAAATTACTTTTTTGACATTTTAAATGTATGAAATTTATGGTATGAATTTAAGCCAAATAAATAGATCACTAATGTCGATATAGAAATTAAAAATCAAATAATTTTACATTTAATAATAGCTCGACTTACTTCCAATGCATCCTGGTTTATTTTTCCAGTTAATACATAAGTGAAATTGTATCTAGTAATTAAATATTCAATAATATCTAATGTTGACTGAAGTGTTACTCGTAAACCTTCAGCTGTGTTAGCTGTTAAAAACTGATTTTCAGTTATTTTGCGATTGTGAAACATGTCTTCCCAATCGTTTAAAAATTGTAATGATTCTTTCAAAATCTATTAAATTAATTAATTTAATTTCAAAATATACCTATTTTTTAAATTTTTTTATACCTTATAGTCTGATGATTCTAAATTTATTCCATCAAAAGTGTGTTTACGATTTAAAGAATCAAACATGTCATTCATTAGTTTACAAAACTTAATTGTAGGATCACAATTTTCAAAATCATTTATGTTTCGTTTCTTATAAAACTCCAAACCAACTACAACACTATTACTGAAAATCTAAGTGTAAATAAATATTATTAAAATATTATTATATTTTTTCAATTTTTGTTAATGAATTAGATCTTACTTGTGCTGCATAACGAACTCTCATTTTCAGAGATGAATTTACTAAATGTACATGATTTTTTGTTATTTTTGGACAAACTTTTAAATAAGAGCTTGTTACATGACAATCTTCTTCATACAATTTTTCAAAAAATTTCCATTTTATAATTCCTAGTGGTGTCTATTACATAAATGGATAATTCAATTTGTATACAAATTGATAGTTGAAATGTGTAGTGATCGAGTTACTTACCTCAAGTTCTTTTTTATTATAAAAACGATTTCTGATATTTTTTAGCAAATGTGGTGTGTCCGAAAATGCAAAAAATTTTCTTTCTGGATCGACAAAATGTTCAACATAGTTTTGGCAATCATTTAGCTTGCCTCTTAAACCATATTCGTTCCAAACTTTCCGGTTTGTTTGAGCACCATCGGCAATAAACCCATGAACATATGCACCAGATTTTTCTAACAAAATAGTTGCTTTAATGATAAGTTGAGCAAGTGTTACCCCTTTAACTGGGCCACTAGACGCAAACACTGCTATTGGCTGTGTATAATTGCCAGCCAGTGGCTGGAACATAAACACTAAGGCATGTGTTGCCTTATCGTTTAAGGAAGTGGGCTTTGGTAAACTGGTTAAATCTTCATCCTCTGGTCCAAAATCAATTAACCCAGAATAAGTGAGGGTCTTTGAATTTACTGAAATGCTTTCTCTAACACTCATCTCATCCAACAGTAATAAACCATGTTTTTGCATTTCAGGTTTTGTTGAAAGATTCATTTTAAAAATTTCAAAGAACTTTGGGTCAAAACCACAAGAAGTATTTATTATTGATAAGTACTTTCTTATGGTTCTTGTACATGGTAATGGCAAAATGTTATTATTTCTAAGGTATGCATATCCTGACGATGACCGAATATGAAACAACATACACAACATAACCCATTCTTCATTGTATCTTCTTCCTCTTTCACTTTTCCTCTTAGATGCTGACAATATTTCTTCTACAAGTAGTAATTGGTTATGTTCCATTTTATTTGAACTTCTTAATTCATTCATTAACGAATTGTTATTTATATTTCTTAGAGTTATCTTTGCTTTGTCTAGTTTTGATTGTAAATTTTTCAGTTGAATCTGTCCTCTTTTTTTATTTTGCTGTAATTTTTTTGCTTTTTGACGTAAATTTTGTAATTTTTTGGATTTAGAAGGAGTTACATTTAAATGGACGCGCTTATACTCAGAAGTCCGTTTTTTTATTTGACGATATTTATTCGTACGTATTGATTGTTTTATACTTGCACAATTTCCACATACATTTTTGTTATTATTACTTAACATTATACACTTTAAATGTCGCAAATTACCAATTTGATCCATAAATGTATTTGAAGGTTTATGTCTTATAAGATTCTCTCTTATGTTTACACCATTGCACATTATTTGTTTGTCAAATTGTTGAATTAGATTTTCTAATTCGAAGATAGTTTTAAGTTCTTTAATTTGATTAAAGTGGTCTAGACTTATGGATTTCCCCAAATAACTTAAACTGACAAATGATTTTTCATTTACAGCTACTGTTTTTCCAAATACAGGCACTGCTGGTTCTTTTAAATTTGTTAATACTTCACAAAAAATAGTTGTATTTGGACTATTTTGTGGCAAAATTTTATTCCAAGAACTGGGAATACATATTTTTGTTTCATTTTCGAATAGTGTTAAGCATAAATTACTGGGCAAACTGTATGCTAACAGATTATCATATGGCTCATAATTGTTTGAAAAAACAAGTTTTTTGGGTCCAAATTTACTAGCATCATTTTCCTAATAAAAGAAATAATTTATGCACTTGATACAAGTTAATACTTAATACAGTTACTATCACACCTAATTGATTGTAATATATGTTAATCTTGTTATATGTACCTATACTTTTCTAATAATATGTTAATTAATAACTTAATAACTATTATATTAATAAATACTATCTAAGTAAAATAATTATACCTTTAAGTCATTTAACTCTTCACAAAATTCTTGGCTTATTAGTTCATCAGTTCTAGGACCAATTTTAATTGGTCTAGGACCAATTTCAATTGGTTTTACAACATTACTAGATTCCTGAATCATAAAGATTTAAACTGTTATGTTATAAAAATATAAACCATAATTTTTTGAAAGCTATTTAGATTTGTAGATCTATAAAATCTTAAATCATTAACTATAATATTATAAATAATACAAGAAGTTAATTTATTAAATTTAAAGACATAACTTATGTTTGGAATGAACTACATTTATATTTAATTCCTGCAAAATCCTTTAAAAATGAATTTGTTGTCACTGACTACAATAATAAACTGATGTACAAGATGATTCATCAAATGTTAAATTATATGGGTGGTCAGCAGTTTATAGTTAAAAATACTATATTGATCCAGAAGACACAATAAAAATATAATAATGTGGTAAGTGTAGTAGGTCTTCTCCTTTACAGGGTTATATAAAAAAAATAGATTTACCTTAACTGTAGTTGATGTGGGTATCCTAGAA